TTTTATTATGTTTGTAAGCAGGGAAATATAATTTTGAAAACAACCAGCCTGACATCCATCTTTTTTGCTGGAAATCTTTTCAGATTCTCATTCTTGTTTTACCAAAAGGCCATTTCCACTAACTTTTTGCAGTGTTTTGGGCTGATCAGATTAGTTGAACAGAAGCCTAGAAGGCTTTGAATGGGAGGTGGGAACATCCTTTGCAAACTCCCACTCATTGTTTTGGTTTCCACACTTTTCCACAGAATTTCCTTTTACCTCAGCTCCCCACCCACCCGGCCAGCCACCCACTCACCTTGGGATATATCCAGTTAGGGCTGGTGGAAACTGTAATCTGATCATTCCATGGCTGATTCAGATCTTACTCGGTCTAAAGCATGAACAAAGCCATCAATCTGTGATTGTTCTTCACTGAGGAGGACTTGCTTTCCTGGCATGTTCACCCCAAAATTGTGCCAAATATAGCTGATTCCCATTGCAGATGGGAGTCTTACCTTCAGAACAATCAAGTTACACAGTAAAGCCTTCTCTCCCTTCTTCCACTGTTTTTGGAATTGAAAGCAACCCAGCTGTCTCCAAGAATAAAAAGGAAAACAAATATAAAAATAAACCACCCTTATATTGCAAGGAGTAGGGGAAATTGGCCACTTTTTAATATTAGAAATTTCAAACATATGATGAACTAATTTATATTTTCATTTTGACATTTTCCTTCTCAGTGGGAGGGCAATTAAGCCATATTTTAAGCCCATTCAAAGTAGCCTTATTCTGAAAATGTTGTAGTGATATCTATAGATAATGCTTACCACCAATCAGCAGAGCTTAAGGATGCAGGAGTGCCTAGTTCTCCCCTCCCTAGACCACCTGACCCAAGGGGCACTTGAGATAAGGACTTCCTCCATGAAAACTTGGGGCTCCTACTGTCCTCCCTGGCTTCCATCTTGCTCAACTTCAGGCTGTTTTTCACAAAGCTAGCAAAGGGATCTTCCTTTCATGCAGATTTGATCCTGCCAGCCATCTGCTTGAAATAAACTTTCAATGACTCCATATGAACCTCAGAATTAAGTCAAAACCCTAGTATTAGCACACTAACAAATTTTCTCTTGATCTGACCCTGCTCACTCTTCCCTACATCAGTCCTGGTCTCTTCTCCCCGTGTGCACCTGCCTGAGTTATATTAAGCCATGTTTTATCCCAAGTTATGCCTCTCCTTCTCTCACTGCCAGGCATTTGCACTCACTGCCCGCTCTGCCTCGAAAACCTCATTGCCTCTTCTTCACCTGGCTCATGCCTTCCTTTCCATTTTGACTTCCAGTCTAGTTACAATCCAGTGATTCTATTTTTGCCATGTTAAAATATGGCCAAAGATAATTTTATCTAAAACATAGAATACTATGCATGATTTTCAGTCTTACTGAACATACTTCATCTTGCACATTTGTCCTTGTTACTCAGTGAAAACACATTAAAATTCTGCAACAATCCAACCTTCATCTTGACTAAATTGCTGAAAACTAACCATGAGCGGATGATTCTTTTCATATATGATGGAATTTTCCACTAATGTGTCTACTTACTCTAGCCACATCCACGTGTCCTCTAGTCATGCCCTATCAGATTACACCCCAAAATAGCAATCCCCTACACTTCCATTGTTTTATTTTAATTTTTTAATCCCATAATTGAATAGATTATAAATCTGAATTGCCTGTTGAACAAAACAGAGTTATAATCTCAATTGTAGAGGAGGAGGTAATGGTGGCAGATGACATGAAGATATTGTGTGGTTCACCTAACATTTCATGATGTTTTGGCACAGAAAAGAGTAGAAGTATCAATTTTGGATATTATTTTCAATTCAGGGGTCTCCTGGTTTGGGAACTAATAGAAGAAAGAGAATTAATCCTTTGTCTTGCAAGCTAATAACCTTGAAGAAAGATGAGTTGCAGAGCAGTGAGCCCCAGACAGTCAGCAGCCCTTCCCCCACTCCACTGGCTGGCTCCATTCTCTTACTTTGGAATATGTCTAGTTAGTGTTGGTGGAAACTGTGTAATCTGATCCTTCCATGACTGGTTCAGACTTCACTGGATATAAAACATGGGTACACAGTTCAGCTTGGAGTCTGCCAGGTCTTTGCTCCCATTGAACTTGCTATGAGGACATCTTTTGGCTCACTCTACCCTTTCATGTTCTCCTTAGTGGAATGTCACTTGCCTGAAATAGCTTTTATGTGACTTGCTTTTTGGTTGTTTTCTCCAGATCATTACTCCTTTCCTTTGAGACTTGAATTTAATCTCAGTAAATTGATTGAATTTTATTTTTCTTTTAAGGAAAGCTCTTGTCATCACATCCTCCATCACTTTATCATTCCATATTGTTGTGCCTGTTATTCATGTCACTAATATGTTGGCCTCATTTTTCATTGCTATTTTTTTCTTTCACATATTCAAATAAAATTAACTCTTTCTCATTGCTTTCTTAATTAGCGATATTTTTATACTAATTTATTGAAAGCCACTTGATGTGGTTTGGATCTGTGTCCCCACCCAAATCTCATGTCAAATTGTAATCCCCAGTGTTGGAGGTGGGGCCTGGTGGGAGGTGTTTTGATCATAGGGGCAGTTTCTCATGAATGTTTTAGCACCATCCCCTTGGTGCCGTTCTTGTGATACTGAATGAGTTCTCATGAGATCTGGTTGTTTAAAGTGTGTAGCGCCTCCCCCCACCTCTCTTGCTCCTGCTCCTGCCATGTAAGATTCATCACTATCCCTTTGCCTTCCACCATGACTAGAAGCTTCGTGAGACCTCCCCAGAAGCAGAAGCTGCTAAGATTCCTGTGCAGCCTGCAGAACCATGAGCCAATTAAACCTCTTTTCTTTATAAATTACCCAGTCTCAAGTATTTCTTTATAGCAATGCAAGAATGGATTAATACACCACTTTAATAATTCCAACACTTTGCCAGCTTACTCTACTAGTAGACAAAAAATATAATGGACTGGGTCTTTCCCCCACTTTAAAAGAAACTTTGATTAATAGAACTTAGAAAACCTGGGCAAAACCAGATGAAAATGTCCTACTGTTTTTTTGTTTTTGTTTTTGTTTTGTTTTGTTTTGTTTTGTTTGTTTGTTTTCAGTGTCCTGGGAACAAAATGGTCCCTGTGTGTTTGATGTAATGAATTAGGCAACTAATTTAGGCATAGGCAGCATGGAGCAGGGCTCTGAAGGGGACTTTAGTACTTCAGAGTGGAATTACTCTCAGCAAGTTACATAACAGTGTGAGCTTCAGTCTTTATTAGTCAGATATAATCGTTGGGAGCAGGAAATGAGATGACACCTAACATGGCACCTTGTTATCTTCCTCTCTAGTCCCTCCTCCCCTACCTTTTCCACAAGTGTTTCGGCTAGAGTTAATGAGAACTAGGTGATAAAGCCACAAACACCATCCTTGCTCTCTCCAATTCCTCCAAAAATTAAAAATAACGAGAAGCAAGTGATTAACCCATGATTTTTTTAAATGTGTGTCATGTAGTAAGTAAATAGTATATGTAAATGATGAGGATTTGTTTGACCCAGGAATACAGCTTTTATAGAAAATTACTGTGCAATTGGCTAATCTGGAATTGCTCCATATTTTTCCATTTTGATTACCAAATTTGGAATTGAATAGAGTTCTGTCTATAATCATGAGAAACTCAAAAACAGGAAGATGCTACTTTCCCTGGCGCTTTGTTATTTAGTTCTACTGACAGCTGATTAGTCAGTCAACCCTTAGGGAGGATGTTTTCCACTAAGAAGCAGACTCGGGAATGCCTTGGCTGTTTTTACAAACAAGCTAACCCAATGGAAATTCATTTTTGAGTTGACGAATCGTATAGCACACTCATTTTAATTGTGTTTTCTTACTTGGATACTACTTTGAATTATTTACTTTTCAGCCTCATTTTTGACATCATAAAGACATGAATGTCAGGACACTAGGGAGATCCAAGACTTAATTCTTACCATGGGACTTGAAATAATTTTGATGAATTCCATAGACGAAACATAGGTAACTCCTCAACTAGAAATGTAGAATTTCAGAATTTCAAAGAGGCTTAATGATCTCTAGTCCAGTCACACATTTGAAGCTTAAATTTGCTTCAGCACATCCCTGTCAAGTGAGATTCAACTCTTCAGTGTCCTCCAGATAGCTCTATTAAAAAGTTCTTCCTTATTTTAAACCCCATAGCTTTCACCTTGGGTCTAGATTCTTTTATGGACATAGAAAGCAGTTCTGCTCAAACCTACGAAGGTACAAACTTCTTGAGGGCAGGGATTGTATTCACTACAACTTCTAGTAACTTGGTAAATGATTGTTGAATGAATGGAATTAATAGCAGACAATCTTCTCTATTTGGGGATATTATCTTACAGAATGGCAAATGAACATCTTATTTAAGTTCCATTGAGAAAGCATCATATGAGAACTGATTTTATTGTTTAAATGCTATAGCTGATTTTTTATTCTTTCAATCTTACACTTCAAGCGCTTTTACCTGTTTATGTTATTATAGTATACCTCTACTGTAAAAGAATATATTTAATGACTCTATAGATATTAACTATTGAGTATTACATGTGCAGAGCATACTGTCTGCGACTTGATGCAGAGAAGTTGAAACCCCACTGAAGCCAGTATTAGAAGTCCTGGGTTCTAACACCAGCCGCACCACTAACATCTGAATAACCCTGGACAGGTCACTCAGTCTCTGCAGTTGTTGACTCCTCATCTGCAAACTGCAAGGGTTGAACCAAATATGCACTCCAACTTCTTTCCACCATCACAGATTGTTCCTGTTCTTGACTTGTCTGTCCCGTGTGGTAGACTATCACAGAGACTATCAAAGAATACAGACCTCTGATTTCCAGTTCAGTTCTCAAATTGTATCGTCAGTAACTATCTACTTATGCACATTATTTAAAGCTAAGTCTGCTTTCTTTTCCCCTCTCTCTTTTCAGAATACTTTTCTTCAGGAGACAGTGCGTAGAGAATGTGAAGAACGCTTTGAACTGACAGAAGCTTTGAGTCAAGCTAGAGAACAGCTCCTGGAACTCAGGAAGCTTCGTGGAAGTTTACCATTCTCACCGTGTTCCCTCAGCAAGGGCAGCCTAACCTCCCCTGCTGCAGCGGTCAGTAATCATGGAGAGAGAAGCCTTGCAAGACTGAACTCTGAAAAAGGAATCCAAATTCCCAGCCTGCGCGGAGTGTCAAAACCCACCACTTTCCCAACCTCAGATAAGCCCAAGAGGGTTGGCAGCTCAGGCTTGCCCATTCTCCCCCAGCCACATCCTCCCAGGGGTGGAGCATCTTCAGCAAATGAGACTAGACAGAGACTGGCTGCCATTCTTAGGAGGAGGCGGAGTCAGCAATGATCCAAAGTGAGGAGCAGGCAGCTCCCCACAGCGTGCACGCTCTTTCAGAGGGTGCCAGGAACTCACTGTAACTGAGAATGACAAAGATAAAATTGTTTTCACAGATCAGGAAGGCATACCTATAGATATATTTAACAAGAGACTGTAAAAAGCTGGAAAATTGTGAAGCCATATTTTTCAAGAGGGTTTTGATAGAGTAACAGATAATTAAGTTGTTGGTATTCCAGAGGTCCGATTTCTATATTTATGTTGAAATGTGCTCTATGAATATAGCCTTTTAGAGATCACAGGTAAAATTTTTCACCCACAACATCTTTTCCATTTCTTGCACCACAAGCAGATATATTTCCACAAAAAAAAAAAAAAGATTGTTTGGGTTTTGTTGGTATGTGTTCATTTGTTTGTTGAGCTGAATAGGTTAAATCGATGTAATAAGTATTCCAAACAGAAAAAAAAAAAAAGTACTTTATCTAATTAAAATTAGAGAATCTCCAAAATGCTTAGTTCAGGTAGTTGCAGAGATCATCATCATAATTAAAAGCTTCTTTTCCTTACCTTACAATCTAATTGGTTAATCTAATTTCTCTTTAGGCTAGCTCAGAGTTAATGATAGATAACCTTCAGGAAGACAATCTTCTCTGAGTGACTGGGGACCTTCTAGAAAAAGAGATGGTAATGTCAATTCAAGGAAATAGTAGTTTATTTCTCAAATTATATAGATTATTTTAGTAAACAAATAACCTGATCATATTGATAGATATTTTCTACAATGAGTGCTTTTTGGTACTCAGAGTTAGGTCTTTATTTGGCCTTGTATTCTCAAACCATTGGGAAAAAAACTAATTCAACACAGTTTAGTAAAGTTAGAGCTAATTTGGGATTCAAATTGGGATTCAAATTACCCCCTGAAAATGGGTAACTGGTTAACATGTTTTCTATTTTGAGTGAAAAAATAAAACCAGAAGCCAGATCAGCTATTTTATCTTAAACCTGCAGACACCTCCTGTTTCTTAAAACACAACTCTTTACCTTAGTCTAGTGTTCATCTATGTTTTTCTCCATCTAATAGAAGGGTATTTTCCTTCAAAAACTAACTTTACTTAAATACTCCATCTGACTGCATCATGAACATCCAGCCTTCCTATTCCCATTTTGGAATAATGGTAACACATTTAAAATATGCTACATAAAAATCTCTGCTATTTGACCATCTTATTGACCAGAGAATTCAAAGATGTTTGGGATCCTTTCCATGTGCAAAAGATGTAAAGTTACTAAACAAAATCAAATTTATTTCCAGTCTTCCAAAGGATTAGTCTACTCTATTAATAAAGTATCTTAACCTCAAAAAAATTCCACATTAGGTCCACTGATTTGCCTGACTAGTTTAAGTATGGCATCTTGTGTTAAGAGTTGAATGCTTACTTTTGTTTTGCAGAGATTGGCATCCCTTGTAATGGCCTTTGACAAGAGAGTACAACATCATTGAAGAATGGCACTGGGTGGATCTTAGAAGTCACCCTAACTGTAATTTTACAGATAAGGAATAGATGCCCAAAAAGATTGTGACTTGGTTAAGGTAGTACAGTTAGTGACAACTAGAACCAGAACCACAATCACCTTACCCCAGACTTTCCACCTCACTGGAGCTTTCCAAGCCTCCATCATGACCTTTGTCAATAGCACTTACACTATATGTAGTTTATATTTTTCCTAAATGCACTTACTTTTTAACCTGAAATTTTTGTAAAAAGTAAATTTGACTCAAGAAGTAGCTATAATGAGTTTGATTTGCTGTTTTTTTCTTATACACTTTGAAATAAATGTGTATCTAAGAAATGTTGGCTGGGCACGGTGGCTCCACGCTTATAATCCCAGCACTTAGAAAGACCAAGACAGGAGAATTGTTTGAGCCCAGGAGTTCGAGATCAGCCTGGGCAACATAAGGAGACCTTATCTCTACAAAAAAATAATAATGAAAATTAGCCAGGCATGGTGGTGCTTGCCTGTAGTCCTAGCCACTTGGGAGGGTAAGCTAGGAGGATCCCTTGAGTCCAGGAGGTCAAGTTTGTAGTGAGCCATGATTGTGCCACTGCCATCCAGCCTGGTCAAAAGAGTGAGACTCTGTCTCAAAACAACAACAAGTGTTAGTCAGTGCACCCTCTAAAATCATCTTGTATAATGCCAACAGGTGACCACTGCACTGGACCTTAGGGGTCTCTGATCTGTTGCTTGCATGTTTAATTACAAGTACTCATGACATAAGGAAAATGGCAAAATCTAGTGAAAACTTTAGTGAAAGCACAAGAGATTATTGTGTGCAACAGTCTTTGTTATAGGGTTATACATGCTTTTTACAGTCTTGCAATTTCAGCTCATGGAGATACAGTGGGTCTGTATCTTCAGGAACCATGGGGATAAAGTAGGTTTCTTTATTTTTTCTAAATTATGAGCATATTTAGATTTGTAAAGTCACACATAAGCTTTTCTAATGGTGATGTAGAGTATTATTGCAAAACTTGATTTCTCAGTTTGCTATTACATTTTTGCCTTATGAGTACTTCTATAAATAATCACTCTCAGAATAGAATCATGATCTGCAATGAGGTTGTATTATACTCCACAAATATATCAGAGAAGTAATTCCATGAATAAACATAAAGGTCATATTAACATTTATTTCAACCTAGACCATTTGAATGGTGCAGACTAAGCTATGTTGCCTTTAAAGAAAGACATCTTTAACAACAACAACAACAACAACAGAAAAAAAAAAAAAAGCCAGCATTATAGTATGTAACCTACAGGTTAGGAACACATTCAAACTTTTCTTGATTTTCTCACTGATAAATAAGTTCCTGGCATGAGACAGTTATAAGGAATCTTAGGAAAGTAGTGAGTAGGATGAAAAAATAAGGCTCCAAATGCATATAATGGGTATTTAGTCTAATACTTTTAATTTCTCCATGAATTGATGTTTGCCATGACTTGCCATGAAAGGATTTATAGGTGTTAAGAGAAAAGATGTCAAAGAAAATATTCCTTAGAGAATTATAACCCTCTGGTTTTCTTCTTAAACTGGTATTCATGGACAAAGATAGGAGAATTCTTCTTAGTTAACATAGATTCCTCAAACAGTTTTTTAAAGTCTTATTGAACTAAATTACTATATTTGTAGTTGGTCAGAACTACTTAAAAGTCACATTTGCTGCTAAGGGAATTGACTAGAAGAGACGCTAACACAAAATTATGTAAGACTAAGATCTTTTAATGTTCTGTTACTCTGAAAGTTTTTGTAATATTTAAGATCGATTATTGCTAATTTATTTGACTATGGAGCTAGCTTTCTCAAGTTTTATCTTTTTAAATTCTTATGACTCTTACACTATTGCACTCATAGATGAACCTAGTACCCTAAAAGAGCTAACACTACAGCTGAAAATGTTTAACCATTGCGTTGCAGCTTATGGAGCACAGGAAGTCAGTTTGGTATGTGCTCAAAATTCACAAATGCTATTGTGACTATAGATTATTAAACTTTTTCATTTTCATGTTTTAGGAAAATAATGTAGACCATCTCTTACAAAGGACACCTTTAATGGTCCCCAAATCATGATAGACAATTATGGTATCATTGCTAAGGTTGTATCAATGGTATTCTCAGGAAGAATTTGACTTTTCTGCTTGAAAATATTAACCCTGTGTAATAACACGTTGTAAAGCCAATACTATTGTATTGCATTTTTAGACTATTTATATCATCTTTCTATATTCTGAATTTTACATATAGAATTTTCTTAAGAACATAATAGATGAATCTGGGATATACTTTTCTATGACAATATTTACCATGATCTAGTAAGTCAAAAGATATCCCTCTGTTCCAACATTTATATAGCATAGTGCTTTATATTCATTAAGTAAAAAAAATTACTAAACATCCCTTACTCCATAAAAAACTATGTGAGAATACTGAGTCACAGTGATTAAGTAATTTGCCCAAAATAATAATAGTTTAATAAATAATTTTAAACTTTTGCAATTTCTGAACATCTTAATCTATAGATTAATACTGAATCTACATTATTTATTCACTCATTTATTCAACAGATATGAGGAACTGTAAAAGTACTGTGAGAGCTACAAAGAAAATTAAAGCATCGTACAGATTCCCAAGAATTATACAGTAGAGGGCAGGGAGAAAGCACATATAGAAATAAGACTATACAGCAGAGGATATTGGGTAAAAAGAGAGTTGACAGCAAGGTGTTATGTGAATTCACCTTTTTGCTAGAAGAATCAGGGAATACTTTAAGCAAGAATCGGCATTTACAATGGATCTTGAAGAATAGATGGGATTTATGGAAGAAGGTATACGAGGTAGAAGAAACATGTAAAAAGAGTCACAAATTCTGTTTATGGGAAATGTAGGAAACATTTGGTGAAGGGAGGTAGTGGGAACCTGAAAAAAGTAGGTGGACCTCATTGATTAAGGTGTTGAATAAGGACCCACCGCAGGCTTTCAACTAGAAGTGACAAGTTGTGCATTGTTGAAATTCGGGAATATTTCTCTAGCAGGAGTGTATTGGAGTAATTATGAGATAGAAAGGCTGGAGATGGGACACTAGTTGGTGGACTAATACAGTAGTTCAGGTAAGAGTTAATGAAATTCTGAATAAAGATATTGATATTGGGGATAAACAAGAGGCAACTGATTCAAATTCTATTCAGAGAAGGGAAAGGATTTGTTCCCTGTTAAATGCTATTTAAAACCACTACCAGCCATTGCCGCTGTAGCAGGGGTGCGTTTTATGAGATTGGCTCCAATTAAAGGATCAGCCCCTATTTAAGAATATTATAGCTTCTCTGAAAAATGTGAAATAATAGAAACTACATTTTTATTTAGGCAACAAATAACCCCACAGACTCCGTATTCATTTAAAAAATCTCCTTAAAGTTAAAGGAAAATACTAATCTGAATAAATGTCCTAAGAATTATGCAGAAAGACTGGAAATTGACCTTAAAGAGAAATAACTATCTTGGCTCAAAGAATGCAAAGTACAACTAACTGGGAAGCTTTGGGAGTAACACAGCACAATAAAACTTTTTATTTTCAATAACCATTTATGAGAGAAAATAAAGAAGACAGCAGCTAACATAAAAGTAAGAGTTATCTTAAAAATCTATAGTTTTATAGTTCTGAAGGGCCTGATACATCACCTGGTCCAAACCTGTAATTTTACTGTAGACAATAGGGTCCTCAGACGGCCCTATCTAGTCACTTAGTGACTAGAATCTGATTTTTAATAAGATCCTTAGGTGATTCGTATACTCGTTGAAGTTTAAAAAGCCCTGCCTATGATATTACCACTGGCCCTGGCATATTCCACTTTTAAGAGCTGTGTATTAGTATTGAACAGAAATAGCCTTGCTGTACTCAGTTCCCTTATGTTTAACTGAAACCTGTGGTACACTGAGACCCACCCCCATAGAATGAACTATTTAACACTCTGACTCCTAGCATGTGCAAACTCTACTTCTTTACCCATTGATTGTGAATCTATAACTCTCCAGGGAAAACTTGTGAATTAAAGAAAATCAATATTCCTTCATAAAAATGTTAAATATTTTATACCAACACCCAAAGCCCTGAGTCTGAAAAGAACTTACTGTTTAAAAAAAAAAAAAAAAAAAAAAAGTTATTAAAAAAAAATGCTAACCTATGTACCAAGAAAACAATACCTTTCTGCTTTGTTCCTCTGTTTTGTACTGGGTGCCCTAGAAAACTAGTTGATACTTAGCAATCATTTAATGGATCAATGGATGAATACATTTTGCAAAATAAAATTAATAGGTTAAATTTCAAAAAATAATCCAAGAGAAACATTTTGGTTTTGATCATAAGCAGCTGAATAATCCTAAAATTTAATCTCCCAACAGCATGTATTTGGAGATCTGATTCCCAAAAGAAAATTGGTAATGCTGGTTGTCTTTTGAGGCTTGCAAAACATAGAATGCTTAGATAACTTACTAAAATTATGAAGAAAATATGACAGTACCATTATTCTCCCTGACAGTAGTTCTAAATGACTTAAATACAACACTGTAACTTGCAGCATTACACATGGATGGATTTATTTCAAAGGTAGAACTAACAATGTCTGAATGAGAATCTATTTGGATTCTCAATTTCAAAATCTGTATTTAACACAATGAGGCATTATGCTCCCTTGTCTGTAAGGATTAAGTCAGCTCATCTCATGACACCACAGGGTGGCCATCTTCTTTAATTTTTTTGAATTTAGAAATAATGAAAAGGATTTATTTTGTTTGCCATTAAAAAGCTTTTGAATACCTATTATTAGCATATTTCGTCCTAATATTTAGTTTGTATGGTTATTTGTTATTACCATTAATAATTCTCATAGTTAATAGTTCAAACCAAGAATTAGATAGATATGTAATTTAGAATATTGAAGTATTTTTAAGCAGAGCCTTTCACAGGACATTTTTGTAAAAAGACTTAGCACTGGAAATATATTTGCTACAAAACATGAACATCTGGCTTTGCATCGTGCCCCACTGCCAGATTTATCTACTTTTGTCCCAAGAGAGCTTCATATGGCCTAACACATTAATCCAAAGAGATATCTTCTGTCTTCTTAAAAGTGAGTGCGTTCTACAGTTGTCATTTTCTATCCAGAACCTTAAATTTCTGGGGAATTAAGGTTTCTGCCAAGATTCAAGTGACTGCTATTTTTCAAGTGATTTAAAGCAGGATTTTTTAAAACCCAGCACCGCCAAGTTTTCATTCACTATTACCAGACTTTTTTAATGGCAGAGTTGAGGTTTAA